AGGGCTGTCATTGAATATCACGATATCGATATATCATCGATATTCATCATACGATATAATATTGATGCACACTTTCAAATATCGATACAAGCTAAAATTTATTTATTTCTGTTAATGAATATACCTCTCTATCATTTGCCTAATAAGAGAAGTCACTTTTTTCCACTTTTCTTGGCTAACTTGAACTTTAAACTATGTTTTCAAATGTCAGTAACAAAAATAACAAAAAAAACAAGCTTTCTGTTAGTTTGTAGTAATGTACATGCATAATACAATGATCCTAATTTTAAACACATATTTAAATGTTTTTCATTGTATCTACTGTTAAAGTCGATATATGGTCGATATTTGTCTCTGATATATCGATACAAAATTGTCCATCAATGACAGCCCTACTTTCAAGTATTATTGGTTGGCCCATTCAGCCTTAAAAATAGTACCCTTTTTATTTTTAAAGTTTTAATTCTTAGTTTCAAAAAGTTACTCATTGGTCAAATACCTAAACTTCGTTTTGTAACTTACGGGATGACGCCTTTAATTCTATATTACTATATTTGTCGGTTGATAAGCATCCCCTTTATGAACAGCATAATTTAAAACATATTTGCCCTTCAGAAGAAAAAAAAACATTACATTCATTTGAGGCGTAATGCGCCCTTGAAATATCCAAGAATTTATAAGTTGGATGTTCATTTGAGATGCAATTGGTTTTATCTATAAGCTAATTATGAAATTTTATTATCCCAACAGAGCACAACAGGGATTCACAGGCAATACTGCTTGCTAATTAGAGCATTATAGAATATCCACACATACAATAGCAAGAATCAAACTATGCAGGTAATTTTATATGATCAATTTATTATATAGATAACTGTTGGTCATTTTCACTGTTAATTAATAATTTCAATAATCCAAATTGCAAAAAGGATGAATAATTTTGTTGATCATACTTTTTGAAGACATTTGTCTTTTTCAGGAACTGTTTACTTTTTAAAGTAAAATCAGACGATAACATATGCAAGATATCAAAATTACTACCATAAAAAAGTTCTTTGTGTCCCCTATTGCTATTTTGCTGTTTTCCACTTGTCAAATATGTCGTAATAATTTCAGTTGCGATGTCCTGGCCACGCGGGTTGTCGGTTATTTTTCGCTAAACTGTAAACATATTGTGTTGTAATTAAAATCTGTTGTGTAATATTTGTTTTAAAAATATTTCCAGTGTTACTAACATGTATATTAAATTACAATTACTTCTTTCCAAAACATACTGTATGGTTCCTAATTCTATTGAAACTCTGGTTTCAAATTGTCCAACATGTTTCATACGATTTTCTGTTGCGATGTCCTGACTACGCGTTTTCATCGGTTATTTTTTCACTTAACTTTAAACATATGTGTTTTAATTAAAATCTGTCAAATATGTCATAAAAATTTCAGTTGCGATGTCCTAGCCACACGGTCCGTCGGTTATTTTCCGCTAAACTGTAAACGTGTTGCAATTAAATCTGTTAAATATATGTCATAATAATTTCAGTTGCGATGTCCTGGCCACACGGTCCGTCGGTTATTTTCCGCTAAAATGTAAACATAATGTACTTGTGTTGTAAATAAAACCTGTTGTCTAATATATTTCAAATTTCTCCCATCCAAATAAAATATTATTAGTGTCCTGTATTTCTTTTAATATTGTGGTCTTCAAATATGTGTCAAAATATTTCCCATTCATATGTTCTGACCATGCAGGTTGTCATGCTATTTTTGCTTTAAATGTAAAAAAGTATGAGTATTGTCTAATTTTTGTTAAATTGTATTAAAATGTAATTATCTCATGACTCCTATGTTTGTCTTAATAAAATTATTCTTATGTTTTTAGTTTGCTAACTGTCTCCTATAGATATTTCCTTTTGTTGATATATTGTAAGATTTGAAGGCAGTTGAAAGAGTTGTTTGTTGATAGTGAAGTGTTCAGTTGTCTCTTTACTGATGACGGAAAACCACAGGTGACTATTGGTAGAATATTATGTAAATATGTTGTTCATTATTACCATATAATTTTTCGACTGATTAGCCTCCAATGTTATTTACTGTATTGAGATATGAGAATGCAGATGTTTGAATTCATCCCCATGTATTTGTTTACTAGTAGTGGTATATGTCAAAAGAAGAAGATGGTTTTGTCCAAAGCACAGATTAAATTACTGATGGAGGTAAAAGTTTGAACGAAGTTTTACTTGCAATAAATGATAATGCTATACAAATATAATGAGATTGGAGTATAGTTTTCTATAATTCACAATAAAGTCTTTTTCAATTCTAAATTAGAATCTAAACAGAAGTATTGTGTCATAAATTGTTTAATGTCCATAAGTAGGAGATAATTTGTTTTTGGACTTTGTAATTTTATTATTCAGCTTCTAGGACATTCAAGGACTTTGCAGACACCGTGGAAGTTGATCAAGACTGGTCACGATTCTTTCGAGAGGACCGGCACTTATTTACTCGCAAGAAGGTTTCGTGTTTGGGGCAGCTTTCTACACCTCTGTACCGGCAGATTTGTAAGACTGGAAGTTGTTTCATTGTTGAGAGAGATGGATATGGTGTATTGTTGAAATATATTCAACTTTAATCTTCCAGGTATTACATGTAGTTCAAATCAGGGAAATGATTCATGAAAATATAGTAAATTGATTGGAAATGATAAGACTATGGTAAACAATTTTATTAATTACTTCAAGATTACCTGTATTAACCTTTGTCAAAACTTGTAAAATCTAATATTTTTTAAGAAATTAGGATTTATTCTCTTTTATGTTCATTGCCTATATATTTATTTTACCTTTTTTCATATAAGGAGATGGAGATGCGACTTGATGACAGAAATGAAGTAGTAACTTTGTATTGATGGCAGAAAAAAAACAGCCTGCATACTCGTATGTATGACTTTTTGTGTTGAATTGTCATAAAATATAAATAAATAAAAACCCTAATAAATCCGACAATTGTAATTTGATTAAAAGATTTTTTGGCAAAATTGTTAATGAAAGTAATATAAGGTTTAGTACAGACTGAAAAAAATCAAATTATTTAATTAATTTATGGGATAATCAAGCTCAGAAGGCTAAATCATTTTGTATCTTGTAAGAAGTAGTTATAAAAGCTGTGCACTTAACAATCTGGGGTGCTTTATTAACACTTTATCAGAGCATTTTTGCTATAAAAAAGTACATATTTGTAGATCTTAGCATGGGCAAGGAATTGGATATGATGTGTCAGTAAAGATTACCTGAGATTGAAAAGGTAAGTTTATATGATATTATAATGTGTTATAATATTTTATTCTTGAGCAAAATCATTTCTGTGATCAAAGTTTATTGCGTCTTAAAAACTTGACAAAAGTTGATTTCATTTACACAACATAATCATGAATACAGATAAATAAAACAAAAAAAGTAGTTTCAACTCATTTTTATTAAAAGATCTTTTATGAATAATGAAAAAAATATGTAAATTATTCTTTGTCTAATAGTTGACATACCAATATTTCTTTTCTCTTGACTCCAAGCTTCTAAGCATAATCATTGGTTGGCTGTTTTTAACTTTTTAAAAGCCAAACATGAATTAAAGCTGTTGTATCGATTATTGTTTTATTAACAAAGACTCTCAGAAAATGGCATTTAAGAAATTCAAAGGCCCATTAAGCCTTAAAAAATAGTACCCTTTTTATTTTTAAAAGTTTTTAACTAGTAACTCATTGGTCAAATACCTGAACACCTTTTTAAATGGGGATAAAATTTTTGAAGGTTTTTTCCCAAAAAAAATTACTTCCCCCGGGGCATGGTAGAAAACTTTTTTTAAAAACTAAATGAATGGAAAACTTTGGGGAAAAAGGGGGTAAAAAAAAAAAACAAAAAAGGGGGTTTCTTAAACCTAAATTTAAAAATCTTTTTACTAAAAAGTTAGGGAAAACATCTGAAAATCCATTCATTGGGGTGAATTGTTATTACTAAAAGTAATTATGAAATTTATTTCCCAACAAGCAAACAAAGGATCACAGGGATACTGCTTCTAAATTTAGCATTATAGAAATCCCCACAACAATAGCAAAAATCAACTATGCAGGTAAATTGAAATGTATTATAAGATAACTGTTGGGCTTTTCCTTTTAATTAAATTTTCCCTAATCCCAAATTTTCAAAAGGGTGAAAATTTTTTTTGATCATACTTTTTGAAGACATTTGTCTTTTTCAGGAACTGTTTACTTTTTAAAGTAAAATCAGACGATAACATATGCAAGATATCAAAATTACTACCATAAAAAAGATCTTTGTGTCCCCTATTGCTATTTTGCTGTTTTCCACTTGTCAAATTTGTCATAATTTCAGTTGCAATGTCCTGGCCACGCGGGTTGTCGGTTATTTTTCGCTAAACTGTAAACATATTGTGTTGTAATTAAAATCTGTTGTTAAATATTTGTTTTAAAAATATTTCCAGTGTTACTAACATGTATAATAAATTACAATTACTTCCTTCCAAAACATATTGTATATTTCCTTTCATTCTGGTTTCAAATTGTCCAACATGTGTCATAAGATTTTCTATTGCGATGTCCTGGCTACGCGTTGTCAACGGTTATTTTTCGCTAAAATTTAAACATGTGTTTTTATTAAAATCTGTCAAATATGTCATAAAAATTTCAGTTGCGATGTCCTGGCCACACGGGCTGTCGGTTATTTTTCGCTAAACTGTAAACGTGTTGCAATTAAAATCTGTTAAATATATGTCATAATAATTTCAGTTGCGATGTCCTGGCCACACGGTCCGTCGGTTATTTTCCGCTAAAATGTAAATATAATGTACTTGTGTTGTAAATAAAACCTGTTGTCTAATATATTTCAAATTTCTCCCATCCAAATAAAATATTATAAGACCCCAGGTGGCTATTGGTAGAATATTTTGATATAGACATTATGTAAATGTTGTCCATTATTACCATATAATCTTTCGTCTGATTAGCCTCCAATGTTATGAACTGTATTGAGATATGAGAACGCAGATGTTTTGATTCATCCCCATGTATTTGTTTACTAGTAGTGGTATATGTCAAAAGAAGAAGATGGTTTTGGTCCAAAGAAAACAGATTTCATTACTGATGGAGGTAAAAGTTTGAACGAAATTTTACTTGCAATAAATGATAATGCTATACAAATATAATGAGGTTGGAATATAGTTTTCTATAATTCACAAATTCTTTTTTTAATTCTAAATTAGAATCTAAACAGAAGTATTTTGTCATAAATTGTTTAATGTCCAAGAGTAGGAGATAATTAGTTTTTGGACTTTGCTTTTTTATTATTCAGCTTCTAGGAAATTCAAGGACTTGGCAGACACCGTGGAAGTTGATCAAGACTGGTCACGATTCTTTCGAGAGGACCGGCACTTATTTACTCGCAAGAAGGTTTCGTGTTTGGGGCAGCTTTCTACACCTCTGTACCGGCAGATTTGTAAGACTGGAAGTTGTTTCATTGTTGAGAGAGATGGATATGGTGTATTGTTAGAAAATATTTCAACATAAATCTTCCAGGTATTACATGTAGTTCAAATCAAGGAAATGATTCATGAAAATATTTAAAGTAAATTGGTTGGAAATGATAAGACTATGGTAAACAATTTTTTTAATTACTTCAAGATTACCTTTATTAACCTATGTCAAAACTTGTAAAATCTAATATGTTTTAAGAAATAAAGATTTATTCTCTTTTATGTTCATTGCCTATATATTTATTAAACCTTTTTTTTCATATAAGGAGCTGGAGATGTGACTTGATGACAGAAACGAATTAGTAACTTTGTGTTGACGGCAGGGAAAAAACAACAGCCTGCATACTCGTATGTATGACTTTTTGTGTTGAATTGTCATAAAATATAAGTAAATAAAAACCCTACTAAATCTGACGATTGTAATTTGATTAAAAGAATTTTTGGCAAAAATTAATTGTTAATGAAAGTAATATAAGGTTTTGTACAGACTGAAAAAAATCAAATTATTTAATTCATTTATGGGATAATCAAGCTCAGAGGGCTAAATCGTTTTGTTTCTTGTAAGAAGTAGTAATAAAAGCTGTGCGCGCTTTACAATCTATAATGTTTTATTAACACTTTATCAGAGCATTTTTGCTTAAAAAAGGTATCTATTTGTAGATCTGAGCATGGTCAAGGAATTGGATATGATGTGTTAGTAAAGATTACCTAAGATTGAAGAGGTAAGTTTATATGATATTATAATGTGTTATTCTTGAGCAAAATCATGTCTGTGATCAAAGTTTATTGCGTCATAAAAACTTGACAAAAAATAATTTCATTTACACAACATAATTATGAATACAGATTAATAAAACAAAAACAAAATGTAGTTTCAACTCATTTTTATTAAAAGATCTTTTATGAATAATGAAAAATATATGTAAATTATTCTTTGTCTAATAGTTGACATACCAATATTTCTTTTCTCTTGACTCCAAGATTCTAAGCATAATCATTGGTTGGCTGTTTTTAACTTTTTAAAAGCCAAACATGAATTAAAGCTGTTTTATCGATTATTGTATTATTCCCAAAGACACTCAGAAAATGGCATTTAAGAAATTCAAAGGCCCATTAAGCCTTAAAAAATAGTACCCTTTTTATTTTTAAAAGTTTTTATTTTTTAGTTTCAAAAAGTAACTCATTGGTCAAATACCTGAACTACCTTTTGTAACTTATGGGATGACACCTTTAATACTAAATGTCAGGTGATAAGAATCCCCATTATGACAGCATAATTAAAAACATATTTGCCCTTCCTACATTGCTTATAAGACAAATGTGAGAAAACCAGAAGTTTAATTTAAAGGGCTAAGATGCAATGAGAAAGCTCGGAGAGACTAGAAAAGGGCATAATTAACAAAAAAAAATTTTTTTATGAAAAGATTGTAGGTTTCCCTAATACACTCATATATTATACAAGTGCTTGGATTTTAACCTTAATTTAATATGAGCAGCGTCACGACAAAACCAACATAATGGGTTTGCGACCAGCATGGATCCAGACCAGCCTGCACATCCGCGCAGTCTGATCAGGATCCATGTTGTTCGCTGTCAGTTTCTCCATTTGTAATAGAGTTGGTAAGCGAACAGCATGGATCCTGATCAGACTGTAGTTGGCAAAGCATAGATGAAAATCCATGTCATTGGAGCTGCAATTATTATCTAAAAGCTAATTATGGAATTATATTATCCCATTACAGAACGCAACAGGGCATCACTGGTAAAACCCATTGCTAATTTTGGCATTATAGAATATCCACACATATGATAGCAAGAATCAAACAATGCAGGTAATTTTATATGATCAATGTATTATATAGATAACTGTTGATCATTTTCATTGTGAATTAATAATTTCTGTAATCCCATTTGCAAAATATGATAACATGACATAAATGTACTTTTTTTTTATTTTTACAGGATTGATTCTTCATGGAGGACAAGAAATATAATCAATGTTAAACATTTAATTCCGGAATTACACGTGCATGGACACTAAAGTGACATTTACCATAGAAACTGTCTGTCCACTGGATGGGGGAGAGGTGTAGTGATTGTGTGTGGACTCAAAACCATCCAGTATATTGAAGTGAAACAGTGTGTTTGTGATTGGACTAACTATAAAACTACACTTCTTCCAATGCTGCCTAGTTCTAGTAACTAGCATGTCCCAAGCCATGATAAAAGCAGAGGGGGAGAAGTTTATGTAATTGTTCTCTTAACATATAAAATGTAAATGCAAAATATTGACTTAAGATGTCTTCAAACACATTATATTACTAAGGAGTTATGTATATGATATTTTTATCTCTTCATAACCTACTACCTTTATTTCAAGAGTTCTTTCCCCTTCGGTCTAAAATTTTGTTTTAAGTTTTTATTCTTTGAATTTTTCGGGATCATTAACTTAATTTTTGATCATCACCAACATCATATTTGACAAGGCTCATACCTCTAGCATCTTTTTCATAATAGTGATCACTAATATTTCTATATAAATTTCCCTGATAATTCCCCTATTTAACCCTGACTCGACTTTATAAGTTGATGAAGCCTTACTTAAGTGGTCAAGGTGTCTGCCTCTCAACCCAGGGATTGTGAATTCGAGCCATAGTCTGGTTATGCCACAATTACTGCCTTATCATAAATAACTGTAATGTAGCTAACGATTGATTTATTTGTTTCTATTACAAAAAAGAGAAAACAGTATGTCATTGCGATAAAACAGTTATAGTATATGAAACTCGTTAGTTACGGAGATATAACACTGGGGCGATATCTCGGGATGTTTCTGCAGAAACACCCCTTGATGTCGCCCCAGCCAGTTTTTTTATCCTCGTAACTAACTCGTTTCATGTATTATAACTATTACATATTCTTCAACATTAGATTATACATGAAGTCCTATGAATGATCTGTTTTCGTTCGCATATGTTGAAATCTATGTAAAATGCTTAAATACTCCAAAATTATTTTCCAGCACAAGTTTTCATCAATATACATAATTATAGAGTCTGTATCATACATGTAAATTCATATAAGATTTTAACATATTTTTATGGTTACATAAATTTTCATCAAAGTTATTTTATTTCATGCACGTCAATGAAGCACTATGACTTTCTCTTAAAATGTAACAAACATAACTATAATATTGAGCCGCGTCACGACAAAACCAATATAGTGCGTTTGCGACCAGCATGGATCCAGACCAGCCTGCGCATCCGCGCAGTCTGATCAGGATCCATGCTGTTCGCTTACCAACTCATAACAAGTAGAAAAACCGATAGCGAACAGCATGGATCCTGATCAGACTGCGCAGATGCGCAGGCTGGTCTGGATCTATGCTGGTCGCAAACGAACTATGTTGGTTTTGTCAAGACATGGCTCATATTTGTGATAACTGAAAAATGCTGATAACATTTTTATAAAACGTGAAAAATGGATAGATGGCAGTATGGAGATTATGCACATTATTTATTTAGCCCGACGATAGGGAGAATATTGAGAGCTAATTTACTCACTCAAGTGTTGACGAATGTGTCCAGGTTTCCAAGTACAAGTAAATCTTTTTTATTAAAACATCTCTATTTATCTAAGGTATTAACTTCAAACATGAAATACAGTAGAACTTCGGTAAGTCGAAGTTGAAGGGACTTGCGTAAAAACTTCGACACATCGGGACTTCGACTCATGAATCGCTCTCAATTTCATGACAAAATTTCGACCCGTGACTAGTCTATAATGAAACCTATTTCATGTTTTTTCCTCATTAATCTGATATTCACATTTTACAATGATAAATATAGCATGTTAAATAACGTTTTTTTTATTATTTGGACTACCCGTTGACGTATACAATAGAGTTACAAAAGGCGTAACAATACGAAAGGGCGATAACTTAACCAACTTATAGTATAAATTTCGCGTGTTATTCTCACGTGACACCGGGTCAAGGATGTAATCAAATGAAAGTAGTTCTTACTGTTTACTTTCAAATACCACTACGGCAATTAAAATAGTAACGATTAAAGCATTTTATCGCAAACAAAGGCTGTTTGAACACACGGCTGTATAATTAACACCTGCCACACAAATTCATTGGAAATCGTCTTCGCAGACAGATAAGGTGTGAAAAAATGTCTAAAGATCGACGGTGTCAAAATAATCGGACAACTTCGACTTATTTGTGGTAAATTGCACTAGATTTACTTAATACGGACCACGAAAAAACTTCGACACATCGAAAAATTCGACACATAAAATCTCGACTCATAAATAGGTTTTTATAAGGAATATATAGGGGGGAAAGTCGGGACTTTAATTTTTCTTCGACACATCGAGAAAATCGACTAATCGAAGTTCGACTCATAGAAGTTCTACTGTATATGGTTTATCAACTGCATCATATGTGACAAGGTTCCTAAATCTAGCACCAAAATTATCTGAATTACCCCTCTTGAACTTAGAATTTTCATGAAGAAATATTGTTTTTTTATTGTTTTTTTATATAACTTCTTTATTTTTTAATGTATCTACTTCAAGTATATGTTTCTTATCATCACCCAGATCATATGTAGCTAGGTTCATAATTCTAGTACCTAAATTATTAGAATTATCATATATATATATGAGATTAATTCTGGCTAACTGAAATCAGGCGATGACATATGCAAGAATAGCCCTTACCGGTATGCACCTTTTTTCTAGCATTAACATCTTGGAACACACACACTTCGATTTGCACAGAGGGTACAAGCCTCGGTGCTAGTTTTAGAATCATTTGAATTATAGAAAGTGCATTTACATATGATAACAGAAACAATATTTATTTGTCCATTTTCATGTCAATTTTCTCATAGAATTATTGAAAATTTCATTTAGATGTCGTAGGGCATATTTCTTGTCATATCTTAATGCATTCTAAACATAAAATTGTATATTAATTAATTCTTTTGAAGTCTTTTTCAAACTTAGAAATAAAATGGAATCCTGGTAGAATAATAAATATTTCTTCTGGAAAAGCATGAATTTTGATTATACAGTGAGAGTTTCATTTTGTTTTCTTTTTTGTGATCAGGTGATTGAAATATTATTCTTTGTGTTAAGTAATAAATAAGTAATAAACTAACATTAAATTAACAAATACATGCACTAGAATTCTATTCTACGAGTAGTAAGAGGACATTTTTCACTGTGAATTATAACTGATTTTTATAATTATAACTGATTTTTATATTTTACTGGACTGATTATTGCTGGGTAAGGA